CTGAGGGACTGGGAGTGACACTGGCGGGGGGAGCGGCAGCAGGGGAAGGGGACGCGGCAGGGGCGGGGGCACTGGAGGTGCCAGAGGAGACAGGGGGCGTGGGGGTGGCAGAGGCGGGGCCGGGGGAGGCCTGCGGGGAGCAATGCACCAGCAGCAGGTTCTCCAGGCACAGGTCCCGGTGGATGATCCCGTGCTCCTTCAGATGCTCTAGCCCGTTGCAGAGCTGCAGAAGCAGGAAGCACACGCGCCGCTCGTAAGCCTCGGGTTCGGACTGATGGCTGGTGGCTGAGTCCCGCACAAAGTCAGAGGCGGTCTGGTGGGGCACCTCTGGGGTGATGACCACCACGCAGTCCTGCTCCTGGGCAGGGGGGTGTGAGGGCAGTGCAGGCAGAGGGTCCTTGGGTGCGTCCGGAGAGGTGAGCATGCTGGAGGGCACCGAGGCAACAAAGTGGCCACAGTCCTGCTGGATGTTGAAATGCACGGGCACAGAAGGGCTGCAGTAGGAGGCTGTCTTGGGCTCAGGGGTTTTGCAGATCTGTGGGGAAAAGGCAAAGTCAGGTCAAGAGTGGACTCCATCATCCTGTTCAACAAATGGTGTTGGGACATTTGGATATCCATTTGCAAAAAGGTGAACTGAAACCCTTACACCATACACACAAATTACCTCAAAATGGATCACACTGACTTAGGTGTATGAGCCAAAAATGCACATTTTCAAAGAAAACACAGGAATCTTTGAGACTCTGGGTTGGGCAAAGAGCTGCCAGATACCATACCAGAAGCATAGTCCGCAGAAGAAAAAAGTAGATAATGGTCAAAATTCTGCTTTTGTGCTTCTAAAGATACCATTAAGAAAAGGAAAAGACAAGTCATAGGCTGGAGAAGAGTCAAAGTGCATAGCTGATAAATGTTTTTTTTAATAAAATTGAACAGAAAACTCTTACAACTCAATAATTAGGTGATAAGCTACCCAATCAAAAGTGAGCAAAAGATATTAATAGGCATTTTACCAAAGACATATATAAATGGCTATAGGCACCTGAAGAGATGCTCAATATCAGGTAGAGGCGAGGGGCCCTTCCTCAGAGGGAAGATGCAAATTGAAACCACAGTGAGGTTCTAGTTGACGCCCACTAGAACATCTATGATAAGAATGACAGACAATAACAAGTGTCTGGAAGAATGTAGAGAAATGGGAACCCTCACACATTGCTGATGGAGTGGAAAATGGTGCCATCACTTTGGAACACAGTTTGGCAATTTCTTTAAAAGTTAAACATAGGGAGTGCCTGAGTGGCTCAAATGGTTAAAGTGGCTGACTCTTGATTTCAGCTCAGGACATGATCTCAGAGTCGTGGGATCAAGCCCCAAGTTGGGCTCCATGCTCAGCAGGGAGTCTGCTTGCAATTCTTTCTCTCCCTCTGCCCACCCTCTCCCTACCTCTCGCCCCCACTTGCTCACTCTCTAAAATTATTAAATGAATCTTTTTAAAAAAAGTTAGACATAAAATTACTACATGACCCAGCAGGAGTGGGGTTCCTGCAGAACGACATGCAGGGTGGCACCTGGGGATCAGTAGGAAGACATCCGTCTGCCCACGGTGTGGGCTGAACAAATTCTCAGGAAGCCAGACAGGAGTTTACACAGGCTGTCAGCCAGACTCCCCATCCCTTCTGACCATGGGGGTGCTCCCTTCTTAGGGAATCTGAGAGACAGAGGCAGGCCCCTCGAGGATGTGGCCAAGTTCCCTCAGGCTGCCCCAGTTTCTAGATGCCATGGCCTGCAGGGCCAGCCAATTAATTGGCACTGCTAGAGGGAAGCCACACGCGATATCCTCCGAGGGTGAGTCACAGAGCCGAGAGAAAACAGAAAGGTCTCCAGCGCTGGGGATGCCAAAGAGCCCAAGGCACCCTCGAAACTGAAGGTAGGAATAAACAAGCAGGTGATCTCAAACTCCTCTGGGGAATCCCCATGACCACCTCCTTCCTGCCTCTCGAACATCGTCTTGTACTAATGACAGCACCAGCCCCCCCCTCCACCAAGCATCTTGAGCAACGCTAACCCTCTTCTAGCTGTCACAACTGGAGAGTCTTGAGCCAGACATAATGGCCCTCGGTCAGGCCTCCATTTCCCTGTAATTACATGAAAGGGACAGAAGATGGTCTGTGGTCTCCTCTCTCCAAAGGATACAGTGCAGCCTTGGCCACGCTTTACAGAAAGGTAAGCGTCGGTGTGCAATCCTGCAGAGAAGGGCCCCTCGCCTCTACCTATAACATATCATCCTGCAAACAACCCAGAATAAGCCTTCGGACTGCTGCATTGCTACCCGTGAGGGATTACAGCAGTGTTTGTGAGGCGCCACCTGCTAACGGGGGACATTCTCAGGAGTTCTACTGCAAGCATCTTTTCACGGAGATTTATTTAGATTGCTGCCATACAAGCCTTCTCAGCAGGAGAGTCCAGCCTCTGAGGAAACTTTTAAAAACGATCATGGGGAGGGGGGTAAGGAGGGAGGTTACACATTAATTTAGTCATCTCTCTATTACAGAAGTAAAACAGAAATATAATGGCAGCACATTTTCTCCCAGACACTGCTCCCTATTACACTAACAGAAATGATTATGGAACACATATCTGAGGGGCATTGTTGCAGACTCCTGTTCTAGCCCACCCAACTGTATTTGGTTTTTTAATTTTTTTTAAAGATTTTATTTATTCATTTGAGACACAGAGATACAGAGAGAGAGAACATGAGCAGGGGCAGGCAGAGGGAGAGGGAGAAGCAGGCTCCCCGCTGAGCCAGGAGCTTGATGTGGGGCTCGATCCCAGGACCCCGGGATCATGACCTGAGCTGAAGGCACAGATGCTTAACCATTTGAGCCACCCAGGCACCCCTGTATTTGGTTTTTATTTTATCTTTTTTAAAAGATTTTATTTATTTATTTGAGAGAAAGAGTGAGAGAGAGAGAAAGGACATGAGAGGGAAGAGGGTCAGAGGGAGAAGCAGACTCCCCGCCGAGCAGGGAGCGCGATGCGGGACTCGATCCTGGGACTCCAGGATCATGACCTGAGCCGAAGGCAGTCGCTTAACCAACTGAGCCCCCCAGGCGCCCTGTATTTGGTTTTTAAATGGCAGTCTTCTGAAACACTATTAAAGGAAGGGAGGGGCACCTGCACCTTTTCTCTCTCTCTCTCAAATAAATTTTAAAAATCTTAAAAAAAAAAAAAAGGAATCTGCAGTCCTCGAAAAGTGGTCTCGCATCTCGATCCCAGCCACTGTGTACAGACCTGTCTGCCATGCCATCTGGGGCTATGAGGGCAAAGCGCTGCTGAGGTCAAGGTCACTCTCCTCCCGTGAGAGCTGCTTGGCCACCACAGACACCTGCCTAACTTGCATGTGTGAGGCACTGTGCCTACCAAGCATTTTTCACACAGTGTCTCAGTACGTCTCAGACAACCTGATGAGGAGGGAGGAGGTAGAGGCTGCTACAGAAGAGGAAACAGAGGCTCCGAGGGGTTAAATTATTTGTCCACGATTGTACCAGTGAGATGTGTTCCGGGGGCCAAAAGTATGGGCTTGGGAGTGAAAAAGACCTTGGCTTAACTCCGAACTCTGCAAACACTGTCAAGTTACAATTGATTGTGATTTGCAGCAGTTATGTTCTATTAAGTAGCCACGAACCCGTTACGAGTGAATACTGACCCACTGCTTCGAAGGGAAATAGAAGGCAGAGTTCTTACCAGCATCTGGTCATGATATTTTTTACCAACGGGGCCAGTACAGAACCTCGTTTTGTGAAGACACCTTAGCAGCAGATACTGTTGATTCGCTAACCCAGAACTCACGGCCGACAGCACTGTAACTCAGGCCCGAATGAAGCTTACCTAACACCCACCCAGAGGCACATCGCAACCTTCTGGCACCCAGGAATACGAGAGAGCGCTCAGCCTGGTCATTTTCAACGGTGAAATCATCCACACAAACACAAACGTGGGAAGAATGAGGCAATCAAGAGACCACAACAAGGACACGTGTTCACAGATGAGTGCTGAGACAGGAAGCCCGAGACTCATCTTGTCGCACCTGGGCTGGGAATTCGTACCTCGGGTGACTCAAATCTCCCCCTACTCTGTGCGGGCAGCGACCACAGAAAATGATTTGGGGTTACAAATAAATTTTAGTGAGTGAATTCCAAAATACAGAGTCCACAAAGAATGAGGATCGACCTGACGTGTCTCAGCCTGGTTTCTCCTCTGCAATCGGGGCAGTGATAGGTGCCTTCTCCCCCCGGGGTCACCGTGAGCAGTCCATGACGCAAGGCAGGTGTGGCTCTCAGCCCAGTGACCAGCCCACGGTGAGCACGCACTGGACGAGGCTGCTATGGTGATTGTTCTGCAGGTCTGGCTGGAGCCCTGTGGTGAGGCCATCCAGAGCCGGCTTGTGGTTACTGTACCGACCTGGACGGTACAGCTGGCCAGGGCCTGGGAAGTGTTTCCGAGGATCCCTTTTCCCAAGCTTATCAAAAACCTGGGCCCAGCAAACACCACTGACAGTTTGCACAGACATGTAAATGAAGGAGCACAGTAAATGGCAACTGGGCTGGACGCATTTCAAAATCAGCGAGCTGGTCCTCTGCTAGCAGTCACAGCTTCCTCGTGCCCTGCATCTGAGAGTCAGCAAAGGTGGGCGGGGCCTGGGCTGGCTCCCCCTGAGATCGTTTTTTAGGGTGCTGCATGGTGGGGGTGGGTAGAGGAAGGGGCACAGGGGCGGGGAGGCTTCTTCTCCACCCTCACCCCCTCTACCCCTTCTACCTCATTATCAGGGAGTTTGTGCTCAGGTCTTGGTGCAAGACCACACAAACCTTTGGTTCAGCTCAAATTTCAAACGTTTTGCTGAGCCAAGTCTCTCTTTAAACTTCGGAGCCACAGCCTCATTCGTGGTTAAAAATCTGGGCGAGTTCACGTTTGTTAAATAAAGAAGGCCCAGCTGGCTTAACACAGGTCCCTAATTACCCAACTAGGGTTGGAGCTGACTGAGGAATAAAGCAGCTCTGAAAACGCGCACATAGCTGATGATTTTTTTCTTTTTCCCCCTACCACGTATGCCCGGAGCAGGGCTTCAAGAGCTGGCTTTAATCTCCTGGCGGCTGCAGGGCGCTGAGCCCATACACAGGAGGGCCCAGTGTTTAGTGGGAGCAGGTGCGAGCCTGCTTTGGCTAATGGGGACTCGCCAGCAAGGCTCCTGCTTCCCAGGCACAGATGAAGCGAGGCCCGCGACAGGGCGGCAGCACGGGAGGGGGGGACCGCTCCATCCCTCGGCTTCCAGATGACTGTATTCTGTCTAGACTGCAGCGCTAATGAAGTGGACCAGCTGCACGTGGGAAAGGATGTTCCAAAAGCCCCCACCCCACAATTACCAGGCCAGAAGCACTTGCAGATTGATACCCTTGTTCCCTAGACTCTGAATATTTGAAGCTCTTCTCTGAATTTCCTTTCCGTACATGACAGAGATAGTCCTTGAGCTGCCAAGTCTCTGGCAAAGTCAAATAAGGACACCCAGGGACTGTCTTCCTTAGAGGGCCAGGGCCTATCTTCCCATCTCCTTCTGGTTCACATTCCTAATGAAATGAGGAGGGACGCTTGTTTTTTACCTCCTCTGGGAAAGGTGGATGTTCTGCAGAGAACGTGGCTAACTCTGCATTATTTTAGGTCCTAGATCCGAGCTGCACACGACAAGCACTTAGAAATATAAAAACCGCGGGGAGCCTGGGTGGCTCAGTTGGTTGAGCATCTGCCTTCAGCTCTGGTCATGATCCCAGGGTCCTGGGATCGAGCCCCGCATCAGGCTCTCTGCTCAGCGGGAAGCCTGCTTCTCCCTCTCCCTCTGCCTGCCACTGCCCCTGCTTGTGCTCTCTCACTCTCTGTCAAATAAATAAAATCTTAAAAAAAATAAAATGAAAATGAACTTATTAAAAAAAATATATATAAAAGCCAGACCCCTTTGCCCCGAGGTTCTGATCCGGTGACAGAAGTTGTGCCAGGCAGCCCCTGGGTTCTTGCAGCAGGGTCACGTCACGTTCCAGCCCGTGGCAAGAGGGAGTAAGCCTCTTCCGCCAGGTTCTTCCCTCCTCAAAATGGAGAGGCACTGACTGAGCCCAGGTGCTCAGCCTCAGGAGCCGGGTGACAGGGGCTGATGCCCTTTGACCCCAGGGAGGGGATGGAGGGGTGGCTCACAGATCACCTCCTCAGGTTCCCTGGGGCTAGCAAGAGTGAGGAACCCCCTCCAGGCACCTCCTGGCCTCAGCCTTCCAGGAGCTCACAGGTATGGCCCTTTCACTGGCTGGGATCTGGGCTGACCGTGATACCCAGGCTTCTCCTGTTCGGCTCACTGGAGCGTGCACTCACTTCCCCTCGACTGGATACGGCACCATCCTGACGGGAAGGGAGACGCTGGGATTGTTTCTATTTTGCTTTTAACTGGGGTTGGGGAGTGTGGCAGGGCAGGATCGCTCATCAAGAATGTAGCTGCTGGGCGCCTGGGTGGCTCAGTTGGTTGAGCAACTGCCTTCGGCTCGGGTCATGATCCTGGAGTCCCGGGATCGAGTCCCGCATCGGGCTCCCTGCTCAGCGGGGAGTCTGCTTCTCCCTCTGACCCTCCTCCCTCTCATGCTCTCTGTCTCTCATTCTCTCTCTCTCAAATAAATAAAAAATCTTAGAAAAAAAAAAGAATGTAGCTGCTGGGTTTAGATGGAGAGATGATGAGATTCAAGAAATGCACAGACTCTCCCAAAGGACCTTGGCATTTGCCTCCGTCTAGCGCCTGCCATCTCAACCATACCTGCCTTGCCTTTTGGGGGCCTTGATTTCTGGACCACCGGCTGGATCCTCCTTGTAGCTGCATAGCCCCCACCACCCTGTCTTTTCCTAGGAAGGCAGCAAATAATTACATATAGCCCCTGAACATATAAATCAGGGGTTACCCATCTATCTTTTATGGTGGTGTCACCAAGTTCTTTAGAGAAAAAGCTCAAAGTAAAAGTTACTGCCATTTCCCTTGGCCAATAATCGTAATGTTTAAAAAAAAAAACACCTCCACGGGCAAGCAGGAAGCTACCTTCCTCCCCAAACCATTTCATGTTAGTTCACTATTTGCATTTCTTTCTAACTGGAAATACAAGAATATCTGGAGAGCTCAGCATTTCCTTCCTCGCTCCCCACAGAAGCTTGCATTTATAGAAGAGCTACCGAACCACCAGGTATTCAAGGGATGCCAAAGAAGATGAGAGAAGGGGCCGCCTGGAAGGACCAGAGTGTGTGTCAGAGACCAGAGTGGCCAGATGGGTGCAGACGGCTTGGCCAGCTTGCTGAGAGCCACATCGAGAGAGCAATGGGGAGGGGGGGTGGTAGCAACAGCCCTGATCTGGTGGCAAAGATTCAGGAGCTGTGTTACCTTGGGCTAGTCACTTAACTTCTCAGAACTTCCTTTTTCTTAACCGCCAGGATGGTAGCAGAGGTGTTGCAGACAAAACAAAGCAGCATTCGCAGCCACCTCAGGCACCAGCTAGCTGTAGGCAGATTACTTAATCATTTTGCGCTTCTGATTCCCCATCTGTAAAACCTATCTGCACTGTGACACTGTGAGGTCATGGAGTGAATACACCCGAGAGGCCTATTGCATAGCAAATGCTTAATCGATGCAATAACTCTCATTCCTCAAGATGATGCTTAGGCCTAGCTCTCTCCAGCTCTAACATGTGCAGAACGGTATCTTCATTGGCTATCTCCCTTCCTAGATTATAAGCTCCATAGGAACCTTATGTTCACCTCTATCAACTCAGATCTTTACAAAATACCTGGCATGCAAGTAGGCCCTCCGTAAAAATGTGATGAATAAATGAATGAACTCTCTGCTGCCTTAAATTTAAGTCAACTTGTTTTCCAACTCGATGACATAGGTTCACTCCTGAACGCAGAGGTTGAATGTCACATTCACACTACAGATCTTACCGCACTGTGTCCCGGGCCGGGCTGAGGGAGAAATCGGTGAGCACCAAGTGTTAGCAGGAAGCTCAGGCTTCAAGCCTGTGCCTACAGCCCGGTCACAGCTGGGGCCAGCTGGCTGCAGTGCAGAATGGAAGTGGGGGGGAGGGGGGAGGGCAGGGAGGTACCTACTTTCACAGCGTAGGTGGTGCCGGGGTCCTCGGAGCAGGTGGCACAGTAATAGATGGCATCCCCCGAGTCACAACAGGGCTTGTTACAGGTCAGTTTGAAGAGCGACCAGTTATTCTCATTGAAGTGCAGCTCCTTTTTTTGGCCGCCCATGAAGAGGTCCTCGCACTTGGCCGCGAGGCGGACCAGGGACTGGGCATAGAGCCCCCCGAGCTTGGCATAGGTGCCCTCCTTGCTGCTGATGCTGCTCAGCAGGCTGTGGAGCTGAAGCTGGGTGCTGCTGGTGGATGCCTGGCTGGACACGCTCAGCTGGGAGGACGAGGCCGAGGGGACCCCTTTGCACTGGAGGCTGGGGCTCCCGCACCCGCTCTTGCTGCCCGCCAGCCCTGGCACTGGCACCCAGTGGCCGTTGCCTTTGAAAGTTTTCTCCAGGGGTTCAGAAGAGGAGAAGATATGATGATGGCGGCTCCTGGGGCTCGAGGAGTAGCTGAAGTGGGGCTCTTCGTGGGCACAGACATTGGTTTCTGAGTGGCTGAGGTTCAGCTTGGGACTTGCTGTTCTTGGCTTGGGGGAGCCCTGGGTCCAGAAGAAGCCGTCGGGTGAAGAGGCTGCCCGGCTAACTAACTTCTTCTGGGGGAGAGGCGGGGGCTGTGGGGAGCCGCTGGGGGACACATCCTCAGTGGAGCCCGAAGGGAACGGAACAGGAGCAAAGAGCTTCTTCCCACTGCTTGTGGGTGAGTGCGCTGGCTCAGATGGAGGGGCTGAAATTGAGAAATAGCAACAATCAGACTAGAGGCCAATGCCAATCAGTTCCGGGGGCCCCGCAGTCAAAGCAGTTCATTTTATTTGTATCTATTTCCTAGAGGCAACAGATGCACAACGAACAAAATTCACAATGCAAGAAAGGTATACGGTGCCAATGAAGTCTTCCTCCTCCCCTGTCCCTTAGCAAACTCCCCTTCGTCGGAGGAAACTGCGGCTGGCAATTTCCAGGGATCCTTCTGGAGATTTGCCAAACAACCCAAACAAATGCACAGCATACATTTACACAAAGATGATATTTCACATCAGACGTACAGATCTATCCAATTCTTTTTAACAGCGATCCCATAATATATCATCCATGCAAGTATAATTTATTTAACCGATCCTCTCGTGATGGGCACTTAGGTTGTTTCCAACATTTTGCAAGCAATGCCTGCAACGGCAACGGCAAACCTGAATGTGTGCTTTGAATGGATTTTTTAAAAGTCAGGTTAATAGAGGATACAATTTACCTACAGCAAAATTCCCCCTTTTCAGCGTGTACTGCTATGAGTTTTGACAAACACCCTGGTGCCTTGGGGGGCAGGGCAGACCCAGAAATTACTTAGAAGGCGGAGGTACGTGACTTTGTAAATGAAGAAACAGATCTCAAGGGAAAGCGAGTCTTTCCTAGACCCCAGTTCCCAGAATGGGGCACATGGATGCTGACGCTGATGGGGGGCAGGGTGGGGGAGACTCCATCACGGCCTCAGCCCCCTTCCCCACCCCCAGAGCATGGGGATGTTCAGAAGCATCACAGACGGTGAGCTGGAGGGCCAGTCTAGACAGGATGAAGACTGGACTTCACGCTTTATATCAGCATAGAAAATGGAGGTTTCACAATGAAACAGGAGTTCAGGTAAAAATAGGCAGGAAAAAAGGCAGAGCCACTGGGCACGGGAAAGGGCAAACTGAAATAGTCCTCTAATTTCCTTCACTCTCAGAACTGACTGGAGGATGTCCCCACTCTTTTGCTAGCAGCTTTGAGGGCAATAACTGGAGTATTCATAGGTCCTAAAATGCCTCCCAGTATCCCGAAGGTTAAAAAGTGAGAGAAATATGGGTCTTACATTCAAGGACAGAGGCACGGGGACATGCGCCCCTCATGGAGTTCCCCAAGCTGTGTCATCCTCAGGGCGGGGCATGCAGTGTCTCTACACCTCTCCCCACCTCAGCAGAATGACCGGAAGGCAAGAGCTACAGCAAACATGGGCCCCAGGCACGCAGCAAAAGACCCCCAAGGAAGCAAACTGTGTGTTCTGTGTCAATGCACATGATCTTTCTAGGGCTGCTCCCGCAGAGTTAACAACTTTCTCTGCCCACACTGAGGCCCCCTCTGCTTTCTTTAACCAAAGTGGGGACAGAAGGGGCCCCCGAGGGACAAGCATGGGTACCAGGCCCCTCGGATCAACACTGGGTCTCCTTACTTGGGATACTCCATAGGGAGGAGGGTCCCTCTCGGGGAGCAAGGGGCATGTGCACATCATCAGGGCTCCCCTTGCCTGGGGCAGAGCGGGCACGGACGTCTGTGCCTCAGCTTCACTGACGGGAGCAGAGTCAGGGAGCTGACAGCAGAGGCCTCCTGTCCAGGACAACCCCAAACGCAAAGCTCACAGCATGGTAAGGTAGATGCATGCAGCTTGATGAACACAGGAGCCGGGAACCAACATGATCGTGCAGGGAGAAGCCTGTGCGGCACAGCGAGGAGGTCAGGCCCCACACCAACGCCTTCCCTGGTTCCACTATCTCTCTTCCCAGACCCCGGAGAAAGCACAGTGCCTCTCACATTCCCACGTCTGCACTCGGCAAGCACTCTTGCTGCCCAGTGGCTTCTCAAGATCACAGTTATCCTTCCCACCTCACCCTGCGTTGCTAATGACAGGTGGGGCGCCTGCCAGCAAGGCTGAATGAGTGATTTATACCCTTCCGGGAGGCCAGGCTGATTATAAACCAAGCAGCAGTAGCACGGTCAGGCCAGCCAACTCTACACACCCGTGTATTCTCCCCTCCCAGTCAGAAGGGGGGCAAGCGAGAGCCAGGCAGCCAGAAGATGGGAGATCCCGATCGCAGCTGATCTCAGCAGGTTCTGGAACCCTGGGGTCCATGGGTCCCCCAGGGATCACAATCTCCAGGAGGGACGTTTTCTCCTCTCAGGTGTATAGTCAGCAATGGGGGCAGCTGAAGGCTAGGGCTGTACATTCACTTCCTCTCTGTGCCTCCCTCTAGCAGAGGCTGAGAGAGCACGGGGAGCATCTCTCACCAGCTCCTGGGCTGAAAAACGGAAGAGCAAGACCCCTTATACCTGGGGCTCTCAAAGGACACTAAATCTCAGCCACCAAGTACCCAGGTGATGAGCAAGAGGGCAGCCAGGGGGAAACAGGTCCATCTCCTGGCCTTTCTGCATTCGGGACGGCGGAATGTGTCGAAGGGTCTGATTCTCCATTTGTTATCAACAGACAGGAGGGCGGACGGGGGGGGGGCAGGGGAGTGTGATCAGAGTCTCTGGCCAATGCTTTAATCAGTGTCTCCAGTGACAGGGACAGCCAGTCTATGGTGAGGATCCTTCTGGTCCCCAGTCCCGCTGGCCGGGGTGCGTCTGACAAATCAGCTTCTGGGCTAGCCGCTGCTCTAAGCCTTGTGCTACTTCCCCATCCTTAGGGGTTTGCCTTCCTTGCTCTCCGTCACAGTGACACCCCTGCGACGGCCTTTTCTGCCTCGACGGTGGTCTGAGGGCAGAGAGCAGGACCAGCCCCGAGCTCGCCGTTGCCCTCCCCCGGCTGAGTTCCCTCCTTTAAAAACTGACCAGATGGCCTCACAGTGAAGGTCCCTTCCGGCAGGAATAGTCTATAATTTTGACCACTCGCTCCATTTTCAACCTCTCCCAACATGCATTTTGTCTCAAAGCTGCCCCTGAAATAAAATACCTCTAGACAGAGGGCTCTCTTCCTTCCACGGTTCCTCTACCTCTAGTTCCCTTAACGTTTCAATCTGTAAGGATAGCAGGAATCTTAAAAAAAAATAAAAAAAAAAATCCTGTAACACTTCTTATTCCCTAGATTACCCCGGAGAATCAAAAGGTTCTGCTTTCACACCAAAAATAGCTTGTGTGTTCAGGCAGTTGGAAAGAAGTGATTTTCTCCCTTACCCTCTGGGTGTTTCCTTACTCTCCTGTGGGAACTGTGTTAGCGGCTTTGATCAGATCTATAGGTAAATCTGGCAAGGAGTACCGGGTATTCAGTGGAAAAGGGTTCATTTTTCTTTGTTTCTGAGATGCTACGGATCTGTCACCCAATAAAGCGTGTCCTAATCAGAGGACGGCACTGGCTCCGAATGCTCCCCGACCACACTTGTCCCCAGCAGGGCAGGGCTGTAGCTACCCAAACCTCATCCAGGGAATAAGGCTCCCCCAAAATGTGCACCTTACCCATATAATTGGGTATTACGTACACAGATGGTGATTTTGAGGTAAAAAAAAAAATGCCTAATTCCGTAACAGGCACAACCACCTTCCAACATGAGGCATCCTTCTTAAGGTTTCTTTCTTCCTTCCTTTTTTTCTTTCTTTCTATTCCTTCCTTCCTTCCTTTCTCTTTCTTTCTTTTCTTTCTTTCTTCCTTTCTTTCCATTTCTTTCAATTTCTTAACTTCTTCATTAATTTCTTTCCTTACAGTTTCTTAAAGTTTTTCACCAGATTTGGAACCACTGCTAGTGAGAAGACCATACTTCACCCTGAGAGCCCCCGGGCACCTCAGGACCACATAACAGCTCAGCTGGTAGCATTCCCAGGGCTATTCCGAAAGACATGTCAACGTGTGGCCCTTCTCGATGAAACTGTGCTTCCTCCACCATGAAACAAGCAGTACCTATTTGCTATGGGACCAGAGTGCACCCCTAAAAACCCACTCTGATTCCGCCAGTTTCTTCACTCTTTCACGGGGGAACCTCCTCATGAATGTGGCTGTAGGCAACATAGCAGCTAGATTCTTACCACAGTCGACCCTTGAACAACATGGGGTCAGAATGAATGGGTCCACTTATATGTATTTTTTTAAAATAAATACAGTACAGTACTATAAATGTATTTTCTCTTATGATTTTCCTTTTTCTAGCTTATTTTATTGTAAGAATGCAGTATATAATACCTACAACATACAAAGTATGTGTTAGTTGACTCTTAATGTTATCAGGCTTCTGGTCAACAGTACGCTATTAGTGGTTAACGTTTCTGGGGAGTCAAAAATTATATGTGGATTTTTGACTGTGCAGGGGGGTTGGTGCCACAACCCCTATGTTTTGCCAGGGTCAACTGTATTTGCAAGAACTACCACACTCTGCATTTAGAAGAGCCAGAAAGGAGAGGGGACAAATATGCCTTGACACCTAAAATAGTTGCAGAAATCACAGGCAAACCACTGGTTCAGGAAAATATGCCTACAAAAAAGTCCTGAAAAAACTCTGGCCAACAGCCTGTCTTCTCAGGACTCAGATTTAACAGCAATGAGAAGAATTCAATATATCCTGGTTTTATGTTGGTGTTACATCACCCCGTTTCCAAATTCTGGCTTACAGCTAAGAGTGTAAAAAAAAGGTGAGAATGGAAAATAGTTTTCTGGGAAGTTTGCCTCCATCATAGTTACATCATCGGTAGGTTTTTAAATGGCTTTTCATACTAATTGGTCCAGAGAGCTCCAAACCCCTGTTCCTAAGTTTTTCTTCCAACTTCCAATCCGGCATATAAAGCCAGTAGCCAACTACAGAGTAGAACAGCTCTGCAACTTTACAGTGTGTCCGTTTCAGGGAAGAGAAAGTGTTTCTGGTGGAAAAACTACATATCACATATGGGGCACCAGGTGGGATCTTAAAAGGACCAAGGGGAAGGTATACTAGCTTGGTGCCATGATATTTATTTATTTATTTTTTTAATTTTCTTTATTTTACGATTTTATTTATTTGAGAG